CACCGCCGCCTCCAGCCCCTCCCACGCGCGGCGAATCCACATCCATTCCCGTTGCCGTATCGCCCGCTGACAGAGTGAAAAGGCCCCGGCCTCGATAAGCAAAGCCTCAGCGCAGGAGGGCCCGCCGCCGAAGTCGTTTGCCGCGATCAGCGCCGTCTTCAGCCCCCGTCGAGCGGCGTCGACGGCGACGTAGAGCCCCTCCACACCCCCGCCAACGACGAGCAGGTCAAAAGGGGCTCGTGCGCTGCGCTGTTGCAGCTCCCGTAAGTCCAGGCCCCGCGATGGGACGAGAGGGGACAATGGGGAAAATGGCCTTTCAGCCGACACTGAGGATGTGACAGGGCTTAAAGCTAAAGCTGGGGATGTGACAGGACTTAAGGCTGAGACTGGGCCTGTGGGATCGGCAAGGGATGTGTTGTGCCACGGCCTCAACGCCCAGCGACGATAGGCGACGCTGCCGACCACCGCGCTCACGGCGAGAGTACTGATGCGAGTGACAAAGCGTCTCGAATGCCTTCCCATCTGACGGAGACTGATACCAAATTTATTTTAAAAAAAGGTAAATCTAGTTAAAGAATGTGGTTAGATTGTGGGTTCGGGGGGGGAGGGGGGGAGTGAGGGAGGAAATTACCCTGATAAAACAAAATAGAAACAAAGAATAAGAATAAAAGAGAAGAGAACAAAAATATGGATGCATTACTAAATTTTTAAAAGTAGCATATATGAAACAAAAACACAAAAAGATTCCATAGTTGTCAACACGCATATGCAATCCAGTGTATATCCAGTATTTAAGCTGAAACAGGGTCGCACTTTGCGTAGCAACCATTTTTCCATTTTTCTGAGAACTCCTTAGTTAATCGCTCTAGTGAGATTTGTTGTCCTAGTGGACTTTATCTCCTAAAAGGTATTTAGACGTATTAGATTAATATATTTGTGAACAGCAAAGCCTACAGATCATTCTTATCCCCCCTTCCCGATATTCTCAACTCCATGTTAGCGTTTTTTATATAAAGATGGTAAAAGCACCTCACTAGGAATGTGGCTTAGGTTTTGATTCGCCTCCTCCTGATTGCCTTTTAGAAAATCAAAAGCAACAAAATAATCACCCACAACATCCTGAAAATCTAATGTAAACCCAATGCTCTCCACCATTTCAGCAAACCTCTTCGCGGAGGGGATCCGCGAGCGCACCTCGACCACCTTGAGCAGACGATTACTTTTCAGAATCCGAAACGCCTCGAAGAGATTATTTTCGTAGTCAGTCGCCATCAAACTCAGTGAAAAGACGCACACATCGACGGAGTTCGACGCCAACGGCACCTTCGTTGTATCTGCTATGGTCACCATCTCGTTCAACGCACAGAAGTCGAAAGAGTGGACGGTGTAGCCCTTCGTCTGGAGCTTAGCCGCGAGCTCAGCCTCCCCGCAGCCCATATCCGCCACCACCCACGACGACGGGATTGTCCCCGGCATGCATTTTCCGCGATTCAGAAGAAAGCGTCCTCGGCGATCCCCTAAAAGGGCCTCCAGAATGAGATGATTGGGGTTGATCGGCCACTGGGCGAGCTGCTGGCGGTAGCCGGTGTGGTAGTCCCGGAAGGTCTCGGAGTCCCGCAAGAGTTGGCCGGCAAAGGCCGTCGGGGCGCCGTAAATCTGCTCGTTAAGCAAGCGAAAGGTGCTCGCGTTGAGCTGCTGACGAAAGTGGTCGAGAAGGTCGTCGTCGGCTTTATGTCGGATGACCCGCCGCCGCTGGGCCGCGCTGCTCGCGTTCGCGCTCCCCTTCCTCGCGCTCGCACTTCCATTCGTCGGAGTACTTCCTTGAGGGGGACGGGCCCCCCCCGCCTCCCCGCGCGCGCGCTTTGGATCCGAGGCCCTTGTGGGGCGGTTGGCATTCCCCCCAGCCCCATCCCTTCCCGCATGAGCGGGGTTGGGTTGAGGATGTTTTTTGCGGTATTGCCGCTCCTCGAACTTATTGCGAAAGGGAACGTTCCGTCGGTTGTTGGCGGAATCGCGAACACCAGTAACGCTGGGGCCCTCGCCATAGGATACGACAGGGCCTTTAAGGACGCTTTTGTTCGTATTTTTGTAGGCTGACTTGCCCCCATCAGAGGAAATCACAGCGCTTGAGGAAGAGGTGACGTGCTTCTTGGGATGATGATTGTTCTCCGAGCGTGAGGCCTTACGAGCTTCTTTTTTACGCTCTTTTTTTTCTATTTTCTTCTTGAAATGGCTACCCCCTAACATTTTTTTCAAAATAAAGATCTCAGCGATGTTGACCTTTTAAATTGATTTCCTCTCCTTTATCTGTCTCTGCTACCATTTATAGTTTTTCCAAAAAAAAGGAGAAATGATAATGTATTGGATATATACAATAATGCGGACTATTCACTACACTTCCATGCTTTTTATGGTAAAGTAGATGAAAAGTTTTCTATTGGTGAAAGGTCACCCAATGTATATAGCCGTAAATGCGTTGGGGTATGAGGAACAAAAGTAAAGGACCTAGATCCCTCTAAATAGATATTTAATGCATCGTTAATAATACTAGTTCTATGTGTCACAAAAATTTATAAAAGACCATAGCTACGTAGCTTCATAAGTATATAAAAAAACGAAGCTAAAATTTATTTAGTTGGTTTTACAACCAAAAATTTAAGTCATGTCAGCAATCCTTTTCTGATTTCATGGCGTTACTTTTGTCAATTCGGGGGATCCCATCATTGTAAATGACTCTCTTTTCACCCCATTCTCAACCGCCGATCCTCCACCGCCATTATGACTAGCTCGACGCGTAGCTGTGGATTGCCTGACAATACTTGTACACTGCGCGAGAAAATCCTCACGGCTGCTGGTAATTTTTTTAAAAATCTCCGCCGCGCTGGCGTGAAATTCCCGCATTCGCTGCTCATGATCCGTTACTGAGGTATCAACGGGATTATTTCGCTCCTTTACTCGCATGTCTGCTTCTATCGAAACTATATTCTCATATGGCTTCTCTTCTGAAGCATTCTTCAATAAACCGCCTTGCTGAAAATCTGGGCCTTCTTGATATTTTGATGAAAAAATAGGCCAACCCGCCTGTGTTCCGCTATATACATCATTTTTTATACTAGAAAGCGATAGGAGGCACTTCATATTAATCTCTTCCTCTTTTTCCTCCTTCTTTTCTTCTACTTCGCCTTGTTGAAGCATTTCTAAAAGGCAAGGATTAACAGGATGATCAAGCTGGCTGGTGCTATTGCACGGGGAAGTGTTTGAGATGCATGAGATGGAATCCGTCAAAGGGCTCCTCACAGCCCCCGCTAACGCATCAGAAGGGGGAGGAAGAAAAGAAATATTTTGTTTTATAGCCTGATGTTCATCCGTATAACTAGCTTTATCAGAGACCACCTCTACTTTTCCTTGCTCAGGAGAAGAAGAAACTGTATGTTTGTCATCCCTTCGGCAGAATGCCTGCATTTCAAACTTTGCAGGAGGAAGATTTGTCTTCATCTCACCTGCAGAATCGATCCTGGTGACCTGAACCTTTGGCGGGCTCGTGCCATCTTCCACCTCGCGAAGAGGAGAAAGCACCAAAGGAAGTCCCTTCGTGGGTTTTCCCCCGCCGTGAGATTTATCTAAAACACCAGCCTGTTGTCCTCGTTTTTGACGCAAAAAGTCGCTGCTAGGAGTGGTGCTTCGCTCCACGCTACGCACATAATGTCGATGATAGTGATTTTGCTTTTTAGAAATTTTAGGACTCACCGAGGAGAAGGTCCCCTTATTCCACCGCGACTGCTTTTGTGTTTGGGGGGTCTCATTAATCGAATGCCTCGGCGGCGTCGCGGTGGCGGAAGAAATCGCCATCGCGGATTGAGAACACGATGGTGATTGCCCTGAAGACCGAAGCTTTTCCCTCCGAATCTCACGAAGAGCGATCTCCTCGGCTTCTTTAGCTTTTCGTTTGTACTGTACGAACTGGGATTCAAGCTGAGCGCGTTTGCCTCGCTCATCCTCGAGCTGCACGCGGAGGCGCTGTAAGGGCTCAGATTGACTCACCGCTAATGCGCGCAGCTGCGAATCCTTTTCTCGCAGCTGACGCTTCAGGGCAGCGATAGTTTCTTCGGAGTTAACTTTATACGCCGAGGCAGACTTTTGCTGTTCCTGCCTTTCCTGCTGGAGCTTCATCTCCTTTTCCGCCATGCGCATCGCGATCTCCTGGGAATGCCCTTGCTCCTCGGAGACCTCGCGCTGGAGGTTCTCGATCTGCGTGCGCAGGAGCTGTATGGTGTGGTGGGCGGTCTCCATCTGATTCTGCAGAAGCTTTGTCTGATCACTTGCGGAGGCCTTTTGAAGTTCCGATTGCCGCTTCATCTCCTCAACGGATTCCTTGTGGGTCTGTGAAAGTCCCTTCATATCTTCTTCAATCAACTGAAGTTGCTCTCTAAGCGCCTTGTTCTCCCCCTTCAACGCCATCTTTTCCGACACCATATCGCGTAGACGCTTCTCATTTTCTCCAATCGCCTCCTCCTTGGCCGTTTTCAACTTCTGATGCTCTTCCTTCAGCGTCTTGTACTTGCGGTGGGTCTTCTCCAAATACCCCATCCGCTCCGTCGCCTCGGAGAGCAGCTCCTGGTAGCTCCCCGCCGTGGCCGCAAACTCCACCTCAAGCTGGTGCAGCGTCGTCCGCGCGGCCTCCTCCTGCTCTTGCAGGCGATCCTCGAGGCCCTTGAGCTGCCGCCCCCAGGCTCCATCCCGCTCCCCCCACTCCCGCTCCTTGATCTGGAGGGCCCCCAGCTCCGCCGTGTACCGCGCGCACCGCTCCTCCGCGCTTGCAAGCCCACCCTTCAACGTCTCCTGCTCGCGCTCCAACCGAGCCACGGCCCCGCGCAGCTCCTCGAGCGCGGCCTCCTGCTCGGCGATCCGGCCGCGGCCCCGCTCGAGGTCCCTTGAGGCCTCCGCCAGGCGCCGCCGCTCGAGATCAAGCGCGGACTGGAGGAGGCCCTGCCGGGACGCGTGCGAGGCCGCAAGGCGCTCCGCCGCCTCTGCCGCCGCAAGGGCCTCCTCCACACGCCGCCCCCGCTCCTGCTCCAGCTCCCGCTCCCGTTCCCGTTCGCTCTCCAGCTCCCGCTCTCGCTTAAGCTCAAGCTCCCGTTCACTCTCCAGTCGTCGTTCCCGCTCACGCTCCAGCTCCCGTCTCCGCTCATTCTCTAGGTGTCGTTCCCGTTCCTGCTTGAGTTTAACCTCCCGTTCATGTTCTCGTTCCTGTTTGAGCTCCCGTTCCCGTTCTAGTTTAAGTTCCCGTTCTCGTTCTAGCTTAATTTCTCGTTCTCGTTCGAGCTTAACCCCCCGTTCCCGTTCTAGTTTAAGTTCCCGTTCTCGTTCTAGCTTAATTTCTCGTTCTCGTTCGAGTTTAAGCTCCCGTTCCCGTTCGTTCTCCCGCTCGAGGTCGCCAAAAAGGCTTTGGTAGGCGTCGCCCCAGCGCCTGCCAAAGTGGGATCGCATCCCGATCGAGCCCTCCCCGGAGGGAAAGGCGCACGTTTCGTCGCTGGAATTCGACGCCGCGGAGGACTCCCCGCGCCTCGAGGCGCGGCGGCGCGGCAAATCCGCCCCTGAGCGCTCGCACCCCGCACGGCGATCGCGTCTTGGGGATTGTTGGGATGTGTTTTCACATTTAAGCGGGGAAAGGCCGGAGGTGCTCGGATGCCGCGTGGGCTGCCCTCGGCGCGGGCCCTCAAGGAGGTCGACGCGCTGCCGATCGGATGGAAAATGGTTCGGGGTGCGTAGCCGCGTGCGCCGGTTTTGGCGGCTGACGTGGAGGCTTTCCTCTTCGGGGTAATACCCGGTATCATTTTGGGAATAATTGCAGGCGAGGCGATGGGTTGGGGCCCCGTGATCGGTATGCGTTCTAGTGTTTTTGGCGCCGTAATTTCCTTTTCCGGTTCCTCTGGAATTGTGACTAATCTTCCCATGTCGAACCGCATCGGAGGATGGTCGATGCACGCGTTCTTTACCGCGACGATTGCGATTCTCACTATGAACTGACTCCTCATCACTAGCAGTTTCAAGGTCAGAGAAGGCGGAATTGGATGGAGATGGGGATGGGGATGTGGGATAGGCAATCCTCGAATTGAGAAATGTGGAGGAAGGATCCTTTCCACTTGCATAGCATCTCGGCATTAAAGAACTATCATCCCGCCTCTTGTCAAATTGAGGGTTTGTACGATAAGATCGTTGTCGTGAAGAGGATTTTGCATGCACTAAACCTGTGGAGGGCAATCCCTCGATGACGGCGGAGTTGATTGCCGTAGAATACAGTAACTCGATCCCTCGGTCTGTTCGTTCCAGCAATCGCCTTAGTTGCTTTGGCAGGTTGGCGGTGGCGCTGTTGCCCACCCCAGACGAAAATGTCATTTCTATCTTTAAAACTCTATAATGCCAGATATTTTCCGGGCGGGTTGAAAACCCCCCTTAACAGCTGGTTGACAATCTTTTGAAATCGGCGAAGCGCACACTGGGATCAAAACAAGTGTTTAGATCAAATTATGTATCTATGCAATATAATGATATATGTATGGATGAAATGTGTTATTCTAAACTACCTTTGTGCAGTTTTCTTACCCTTTTCTTTAACAATGCGGTCAAAAAAAAAAGGTTGCAAGTGTCAAATCATTAATCGATTTATGCGCACTGTGGTTTTTAATGAAGTTATGTAATAGGTATGTAAGCGAATAACAATGGTATATTTCTCCCTGATTCAAAAAGACAAAATAACTATGAAATGGAAATCATATGATAAAATATGCCCAAGCAGTAAAAACAACAACCTCATAAATGGAAAATCTGAAAAGTGAATAGAAAAGAAAGTGTTCTCTTATCACCTTATATAATTTTATCGACATCCCTTTCAGTTTCCCATCCTTGCAGTAATCTATTTAGCACTTTAGAATCAGTCTTTATACGTAGGCTGCGAGAATATCCCGCTGAGTTTATACCCCCTGCTTGCGAATCCAACATGGTTGCTTCAATTATCTTCAAAGCTTTACGACGGCGAAAATGGTGATGAGATGGGGCTTGCCTTTTCCTTTGTCCGAGCACAATCTCCCATTCTCCAGCAGTTGAAGCTTTCTCATCAATGTAATGCTTAGTTTTCCCATGCATCACAGATCTAGCGGTGTGCAGTGAGCTATCCATATTATGCCCAGACGTCAGGACGTCTGTGAACTCAAGCTCAGTGGCTATAACCCTACTTAATCCTTGATTCCCTCTGTTAGTATGATGTTTATGCACGACTCTCGTACTGTTGAGAGGGAAATCCTTTCGAAAAGCCTGTTTGAGGGTTCTCATTGTCGGAAACTGACTTCGTATGGGCTTCACAGTTCCAGAAAAGCCCGCTGCCTCAGATTTAGGAACATTGTATGATAAATTTTCAGGTGCTGATGTCTTTGACGCATTGAACGCTGGAGTAACACGTGTTGAAGACAATGAGCAACTCGCAGTTTCCAGAGCCGCTCCTAATCCAAGACTTTCCGCCTTGGTGCTGTATGGGGAATCTATAAAAATGCTAAAATCCTTCTCCGATGGTAATAAAACGCCTATGATTTGGTTTTCTGAAGTGGAGTCAAAGGACGGTGTTGTTGGGTTCTTTGCCGAGTTCGATGTTTCCTGATCCTTTCTCAGGATTGTATTAGTCGAGGATGCTCGTCTGACATGCCTACCGGAGGTTCCAACGCCACGTTGGGGTTTAGAACGTGCGTAGGAATAAGGATTCGCAAGCCGCAGTAATTCTAATCGGGCATTCAAACTGCGTGAGATGGCCTCCCCCTCATCTCTGGTCTTGTTGCGTTTGCGAATATGAACCCCCGCATCCTTTTCCCCTTCCTTCCCTAAAGTCGTCTCCGCATGTTCGGGAGAGAGAAAGGATGAGACAGGGGCATCCTTCGTCATCGTGCAGGACGGTTCATCGATGTCAAAAGAGGATAAAAAGGGAGGTTTCGTCTTTTCAGAAGCTAACGAAGTAGAAGAAAGCCTAGAAGACGATTCCCAACTAGAAACTGTCTCAAACGAAAAACGATGAACCGAAAGTTTGTCAGCAGAGATCTTTTCAGTACTAAATTTGTCTTTAAGTGAAGTTTTAGGATAATCCTGCTCATTGCACAGATCTAATGAAATGGCAGTAGTGGCCATCGGCTCTAGCATCGGTCCTGAAGATGGCTTTCGTGAAGTGCAATCTTCAATAAATCCTCCTGGACCTTCTGTTGTGAAAGATCTCTGAAAGTGCGTGGTGGTAGATGAGCTGGCAATTTCCTTGCACCGATTTGAAGCCGAAATCCCCTGCTTCTTCCTGTTTCTACATCTCCTACCCAGAACAGGGGCCTTTTTCCCACCACGTCTTCCCGATTCCTCTTCAAATATATTATCCAATGAAAAGGCATAAACAGCTGATAAAACCTTGTTCTTATCTCGGTTATGGTCATTGAGATGTATATAAGAACTAGAGCAGGTTGGATTCATTGGGGCGGGTAATGTTGAAGGAGCCCTAAAGGTACTCGTAGGCGCTGATGACCTAAGGGTAAGAAGATTCTTGCGCACAAGCGGTGTGGAGTAACCCCATTTCGTGATATAATTCATTTGAAGGGGTTATTGAACCTTTGTTGGTAATTGTCTACGCATTCTTCTCTTCATGGAGGATAATAAGATAAAAATTAGCAAATATTTGTCGCAATCAAGCTCTATGAATCACAGTCAACTGGTCATCACTTTCAATGATACTATTTAATAAAGTCGGAAGAAAAACCTCATAAGTGGAAACGAGAATTAGGTTTAACAGAAGAAAAAGTATTCGGTGATGGTAATAGTAAGGAAAAAAATTGAACGAAAGCCTAAAGAGCATAGCTCGCACTCCTCTTTAGTCGTGAAACTCCATTTTTACTATGATTCACAATAGAGACCGCTATGGGTATATATGGTGTAAAGTGCTACAGACCTTCCTCCTTATTCGAAAAGGGGACTGATGCATCCAAACCGAAATGAAGCATATGCCGGTTTCTCAAATCTTGCCTATGACGTACGCGGCGTCTATCCCGCCGTCCGGAAGTGCCTTCACCCCCGCCCTCAATTTTTTCACGCATTGAATGCCTCACCGCACGCAGCTGAGCTTCGTGAAGAAGCGCGCGCTTCGCGTAAACAATCTCTGTCGCCGTGCTCACGGCCTCCTCCGTGGGATAGGTCGCATCGCGTACCTTCAGCACCAACGGGGAGCTATTTTGCCACCACGGAATTACACTATTGAAACCCCTATCGATCGCCTTTGTCGGGCTCGAAAACGAAGCGTTTGTGTTGATAGTGCCTTGAGGTTCACCATCGCCGTTCAGTTTAGTCGTATTCGTGCATGTTTGTGGTGCATTCACAACATCCGATCGCGCGGAAGTCACCCCATGCCCCATGACTAAAGGATCCATTAAATGATACGCGGGCGGTAAAGTGAAACTACTCGGTTCGCGCTCACGCCCAATAAGGATGCCAGGAAAAGTTGCATCCACATCCACAACCTCCATGTTCACAATACATTCCTGCCCATTAACCATAAATATGAGCTTAAGAGGGAAAACCGCAGAAAGTGCCTCGATATCCAACTGAACTTTCGTATACCGAATGGTTTGTCCACCCCCAAAGCTATAAATGTTTCCCTCCTTACCAAGAGTTTCCGTGGTCGTCAAAGGCGCCGCAGGGAGCTTTTTTTCGAAGCTTACACTCCGGCTGCGAATACTTAGCGGCTCCACGCTTCCTGACAAAGCGGTGGTTGGGCTCATGCCGGCGTTCCCAGATCCCCCAGGTACCACAACGCGCCACTGCACCTGAAGGCCGTCTTTTCCGCCTGGGACCTGCCGCAGCACCGCGTTTTCGTTGTCAAAGGTCACGAGAAGTCGCTCCTGAACCTGAAGACGGATGGGCAGGCAGTGCGCGTCCCCCACCGCGACCCCACGCGAGGTAAAAAGTTTATGCCGAATGCGAAGACCCCGCGGCAGGGGCACCACGGCCGTCGCCACACCGGATATTTCACTCAGAGGCAGCTGCTGACTGAATAAAGCCTCCACCCTCGCGGTGGTGGGGGAGGAGACCCCGCCATCGGGGTCAACGTCGCCACCACTGATTACCTCTTTTTTCGCAAACTTGTCGGAAAAGTAAAAGGCAATCCCATAGCGCTGGCAGTCTCGCAGTAAGTTCCGTGAAAGAATTATCTGGTCGGTATGCAATCCCACGCATTCCTCTGGATCGGGCATCATTGCCGGGGTGTTGATCAGGTCTTGCAGCTCCTTTAGCGACCGGAGCTCTGGTCGTCGGCAGATGAGAAAGGTCCGATCCGGCTGTGGACGAGAAAAAAATGAACGTGAAGAAGAAGGCTCGGATTTGGACTCTTCATCCCGGATGATCAACTCAATGTTGCGGTTGCTGCACTCACCTTTCGCCATCAGGACAAACCATTCTTCTGGGAAGCGCCACAGTGCGGCCCCACGCGGCAGAAGGTAGTCTAGCTGCGCAATAGAGTACTCCACATTGGGATGACTCGACAGGAATTGCAGCAATTCATGGTGCTTGATGCGCTGCGGTTGTGTGAGAACTTCTCTAAGTTCACTCATACGGGTATGTGTGTGTGTGTGTGTGTGTGTATTATCTTTTCGAATTTCTATGATATTTATAGAATCACGCCTAGTCCGATTGACTCTGTATTCTGTGCTTGAATAAGGTGAAAATTTATAAGAAAAATAGAAGAAGCCTTATTTTTTTTTGGTTGAATTAAATTAACAATAGGGTTTTCCACATCGTGTCATACGTTGCTAAAATAAGTTTAATTTTTAAAAATCATGTGAATTTAGCTGGTAACCTGACCTGAAAGAGGAAGGAACCATGACAAGTTGGGTTCTTTAAGGGAAAAATGGTGAAGAATAGAAGCAAAATAATTTGACGCTATTCGGAAAATTTTACAAATTGAATATCCTTGGATCTATGGCAATATCTAGGGTTCACAGTCGTGTTTCGCTAAAACTCATCACAGCTGCGAAGTGAATTAAGAACAACCCTCACCGTAACCTTAGCCATTCCCTCTGAGGATTCGTGCACCACACTGAGCTGTCGCTGCGAGTTAATTTGCAATGAAAGCTGTTCAAACCCCGCCCCCCCGCTCCCCACCAGACCGGCCCCGCACCCATAAGCCCCAAGGGATGCCGAGAGCCCCGACCCACCTGCGCCGCCGCCCAGGGCGAAGGTGGCGCGTCCGCATCCGCAGGCCAGCGCGAACTGCAGCGTCTGCACGCGCGTCCATGCGGGCCGGAAGGCCTCGCGTTTAAGGTCATTCCCGACCTGGCAGGGCAGGACGATCTCGACGTTGCCGTGGGGGCCGCGGCCCCGCAGCCGCACCCCCTCCGCACCGCCCATCGCCAGCGTCGTCTCGCCGGACTGCGTGGCGGCAAGGTCGAGGAGGGCGTCCCGCAGGGCCTCCCCGGGGGGGGCCGCCGCCGCGACGAGGGGGAGGTCCGAAAAGCGCAGATCCAGCGGGCGGGCCCGGACGGGGCGGGTCAGCAGCTGGGACTGAAGAGTCCGGCCGGCCTCGGCCCCGTCGTGAGAGCCGCCAAGCTCGACCAGCAGACGCCCGTCAGGGGTGGGGTGGACCAGCGTGAGCCGCACAGTAGGCGCCCCCAGGGCCGGCAGGCCGAGCAGGAAAAAGGCGTCCAGGAGGGTGTGCAGGTGCACGCACAGCCGCGTCTCCACCACCACGTACTCGGAGAAGATCCCACGCGGAAGGAGCGCCGTCGCGGTGGTGTTGCGATTGTTCGCCTCAACGTGCAGCTCGACCTCGTTTTTGCTAAAGGTGATGGTGACCCAACTGTCCCTTTCCAAGCCCACCATGACCAGAGCTTTCAGAAAGAGAATCGGGTTCGCTACACAACAATAAATTGACATCGTGGGATGAAACTATGTGGGAGCGCCTCGTTAAAAAATGTTAATGATATTGAAAAAAAGAATTAATATATAATCTATTACCTTTGGGGGGGATCGCATAGATAATACTAGATAGGTTTGCTTACTTAAAATGATAGAGAATAGGCGTAATTTTTATCGGCATATTAAGTTTGGTAGTTGAATTCAAAATTGCTGTACATAAATGTGTCACAAACATCCATGTATAGAGTTCCCATCACACTCAAAAGGAGCAAGGGAAAGGGGACTAATAAACAATGTAAAAAAAAAGATAGGAAATAACATATTTCCCAGTTGAAAACCAATTATAATCTATCAACTGCTTTAGACAAAGTATTAGGTTCTTTGTTATTATAAAAGGTAAGGTGTTTCAACCTTTCACAGCTATTGAGATCGTTTAAAACACTAAGAAGTGATTAAAGTGGTTTAGATATAGAAAGTGTCTAAAAAAAAGTACAGCCATGAGTGAGGCGCATACAAAAATAATGGTACCTCTCTTTCAATCGTCACAATGTCTTTGGAATGGTTTAGCTAGGCGCTCAGACTTAGGAACAGAAAAAGAACGTGATGAATTCGAGATATGTGGAAAAATAGTGAAGCTCTCAACTATTTCAGTCTTCGGTGGCTTTCTACCGTAACGAACGGAAGGGCACCATCGGCTTGGAAACCG